ATTTTTCTGGGTTTCTCCCCCTTGACACATGCAACTCACGCACACTATTTACAAGTCCCACACACACACACTTTTACAGATCAGTGGAGATGAAATTACACAGACTCGAGGTTCAACATGCCTAACTTAGAGACCAGGAACTAGAATCTCTTTTCGTCCAGTGCCTTCGTAAACAAGTCAGCCAATTGAAGCTCGGAGCTTACAAAATACATGTCAATGTCTCCTTTCTCCACGTGGTCCTTGATGAAATGATAGCGCATATCAATGTGTTTGGTGTGGGAGTGGTGAACCGGGTTGATGGTGATGGCGATGGCGCTCTGTGAATCATTGTAAATCGGGATATGACGGAACGTGTAGCCGTAGTCTCTTAGCTGAGTCTTCATCCACAATATTTGTGAACAACAGTTAGTAGCCGCGACGTATTCTCCCTTAGCTGTAGATGTTGACACACAATTCTGCTTCTTTGAAGACCAGCAGACTAACTTCTCACCCAAGAATTGGGCGCCTCCCGAGGTACTTTTTCTGTCCATTTTGCAACCCGCAAAATCAGTGTCCGAATATCCGACAAGGTCAAAACCTGAATGCTTGGGGTACCAAAGGCCTAAGTTCACATTGCCTTTGAGGTATCTCAAGATTCTTCTTACAGCGGTCAGATGTGATTCTTTCGGATTCGCTTGGAAGCGTGCACACAAGCATGTGGAGAATACTATATCAGGCCTGCTAGACGTGAGGTACAGCAAAGATCGGATGATGGCCCTATAGTTTGTAGCATCAACTCGTTTCCCTGAGGGGTCTGAGTCCAGTTTATTATTGGGGAACATAGGGGTTGTCATGGAAGATTTGCCGTCAATGTTGAACCTTTTAAGAATTTCCAGAATATACTTTGACCGATTTATGAAAATGACGTCTGGTAGCTGTTGTACCTGCAGGCATAGGAAGAAATTCAGTTCTCACATCATGCTCATCTCGAACTTGGTTCTCATCAATTCTTCGAACTTTTTGCACAGGCGGGGATTTGAAGAGGCAAAGATAATGTCATCGACATAGATCTGAATCAGTATGATATCAGTCTTATGTCGCTTGATGAAGAGTGTTGTATCTATCTTTCCTTTTGAGAAGCCTGAATCAATCAGAAATTCAGTTAAGGCATCATACCAGGCCCTCGCTGCCTGCTTCAATCCATAAAGTGCTTTCTTGAGCTTGTATACATGATCAGGGTATCTTGGATCTACAAATCCTTCTGGTTGAGCGACATAGACTTCTTCTTCTAACACTCCGTTTAGAAAGGCAGTCTTCACGTCCATTTGAAAGACAGTGAAGTTTTTGTGAGCCGCGTACGCAAGAACGAGACGGATTGCTTCAATTCTAGCTACGGGCGCAAATGTTTCATCATAGTCTATGCCCTCTTTCTTGTTGTACCCCTTCGCAACCAGCCTTGCCTTGTTGCATACAACTATCCCTTCTTCATCTCTCTTAGTTTTGAATACCCACTTCGTGCCAATGATAGTTTTCTTCTGTAGCTTAGGCACGAATGTCCATACATCCAGTCTTTCAAACTGATTAAGTTCATCTTGCATTGCAATCACCCAATCAGGATCAAGTAGTGCTTCATAAACCTTTGAGGGTTCAGACTGGCTTAAGAAACAAGCAAAGAGGCATTCGCTCACTGTAGCGGGTCTTGTGCGTACACCTTGACTCGGATCACCGATTATCTGTTCAACAGGATGTGCCTTCATCCATTTCCTCTCATGACCCATAGGAAATATACATGGTTCTATTCCAAATTTAGATATACCAATGGTCGGAGGTGGATCTAAGGGGTGTGACAGGTTTGGTACATCCTTCACAAGAGCATAAGGATTCACACACTCATCAAAAGAAAATTTTTGCCCTTCACCTGTAAGGCTTCTTTCATTTAAAACAGTATAATTGAAAGAAGTTTCAGTTTTTGGGTTCTTTCTCTTTTCTTCTTCTTCAGCATTTTCTTTTTCACCGATACAATACATTTTCTAACCATATCCTAGTCTCATGTGGTCTAAGTCATAAAGTTGAATGCAATCAACTTTCTTTAGATAACATGGATTAGATATGCCAAGTCCGGATCTGGGATTATAATACCTGTCATCACTAATTTGATTTAAGAAGATAGTTTGTTCTTATTGACCTCTTGTAGCAATCAAGTCCTCAAGTTCTTTGATTTTGCTGAAAAGAGTATTTCTTTGATTGTCAAGAACGTTGTTGTCAGCTTTTTCTGAACTTAGTTCTATCTCAGTTTGAAACACTTTATCAGTCAGATCAGCAACCTTGAGTGTTAGCTCATCAATTTCAAGTGTCATCTTTTTGGCAACTTGTTTTTCATTTTCAAGTTGTATGTTTAAGGAGGCTTTCTGGTCTAGACACCTAACAAATTCTTGGTAGTTATTGTCTAACTTCTCCCTTAGATCATTAATTAAGCCATCCTTATCTTGTAAGGATTGACCTTGATTAGAACAAGAGCATTGAGAGTCGGAAGTACTTACAGTGCTATTCGAGCTCTCACTTTCGGGGATCACAACATCACCCTTTTCTTCTTCTTCATCCTCCAACAATGCCATCAGCGCATAGTTCTCCTCTTCCTCTAGATCAGATGAGTCCTCAGCCCAATGATCTTTCTCAACCAGTAGTGCTGCATTCTCCTCTTCTTTTTGAGCCAGCAACATCTTTTGCTTGTTCCAAATCATCTTCTATTTATAGAAGTTGGCGTCACTTTTCTTCGATAGGCGACAGTCCTTCTGAAAATGTCCAGACTTTCCACAATTATAGCATTTGGGAGATTCATCAGCTGGAGCTGCCTTTCCAGAGCTGCTTTGATCATGGGTCTTTTGTTTGTAGTTTGAGGAGGAAGTTCTCAGCTTATTTGAGGGGTTGTTCTTCTTCCCCCACTTCTTGGTCATAAGTGCCATTTTCTTCTGCAGCTCTGCCATTTCATGCTCAAAGTCTGTTTCTTATTCGCTTTACTCTTCTTCAGACTCAGTGACAACCTTCTTTTTCTTCTTCAGGACCTTCGCGGACCTATTTGGTTGTGCCTCCATTACAAGAGCTAACGGATCAGTTGGATATTGTCCTTCTAGTTCTGCAGCATCACTTTCAAATGACCTCAGATGGTCTCTTAAGGTACAGAGGTCCACTTCATCTAGGTCCAGGCCGGTTCTCGCATCTTTCACATTATTTCTCCACTCAAGATTCAGACTAGACATAAATCTAATATTCATTTCCATATTGGATTTGAATATTTTGATCTTTCTGAGTTCATTGATTAGTGTCATGAATCTCTTGTGGGTTGAAATGAGTGATTCGCCAGGTGGGGCTTTAAATGAGTCATAGGCCGTCAGAGTACTGGCCTTCTTAGTCTTTAGTCCAATGGAGGTTCCCTGCAGCAGCTTTGCAACTTCATCCCACATGTCCTTCGCAGTCTGCATACTGTCAATCATAATGTAGATATCATTGGGAATGGCCTGCAACAGGTATGTTTTGACAGTGAGATCAGCCTTCAATCTCTCTCTCTCCTCTGCTGTGTATTCATTGGGAGTTTTGATCCGTCTGACTTGTTCGATTGGCGGATTATTGTTCTCATTTCCTGGGATAGTTATCCACAGTTCAGCAGGACCTTGAGTGAGGGATTCCAGCAGTGGAGAAGAGTTATCCCGATTCTCAAGAAAGTTGAGAAATCGAGTCTTCCACATCTGGTATTCCTCATTTCTCAGTACCGGGGGATTGCTACTGTTTCCAAGTGCTGATGAGTCGGCTGCCATTGCTATTATAAACTGACCCTTCGAGATTTGATCAGGAAAAATTTCAAAGGAAGAACCTCGAGATCCTGAAAATCGAAGATCTAATATCGAGATTTAAGATTTCGATATAGGGATTTCGAGATTAAGATTTCGAGATTTATCTTTCGAAATTTCAAATGTCGAGTTTTGATCTCGAGATTTCAAATGTCGAGATTTGAAATATCGAGATTTATACTTCGAGATTTTAGATTTCGAGATATCAAAAGTCGAAATCTAGATGTCGAGATCTAAATATCGAGACCCTAATGTCGAGTTCTAAAAGTCGATATCCTGCAAGTTGAAAATTTCGAGTTTTCAAAATCTGAAAGTTGTATTCTGTAGACCTGAGCGTCGAGATCCTCCTGTGAAAATTTCAGATCTAAAGGCTAAACAGAACCTTTAGAAGAATATAATCTTGAGATCACCCTGTCAAGATCTTCAAGAGTAGAAACTTGCGAAAAACAAAAAATAAGGTATATTGCTTGATCGTCTAAACAACGTGATCCTAACAGTATAACTTTTACAGATTTTTGATCGACAACAAGATTACAGATGAACGAACCCGAAAAACAATAGATGAACGAAAAAGAAAGAGTCTTTCATCGTCTTTGCCTGATCTGTTCTCGATCGGCTCTGATACCAATTGTTTGTCCCTGTTTATACATTACATCATTATATCGATACACAAAGATGAGAATAACAGAAAGATAAATGCTCTGGAGATCCTTAAACTCGTCTTTGATATACCGTGAACTTCTACAGTAAGAATGATAAGCTCTGAGGCTGTTAAGATCGAATGCAAAAGTTGACGCAAATCTGAGCCTTAAGCGCCTTTTTATATGCGCAGGTCAGGTTTGCGTAAAGGCTTTACGCCAGATATGGGCCTGACATTTCGGCCCCATATCTTTTACTATGCTAATAAATATAGAGTATAAATACATTACAGGCATAGTAATGACAAGACTATTACAGGACATCTGACAAACTTGATTCACAATAAAATATTCTTCAACAACTTTGGTATAATAATGATTGGAATTATACTTCAACCTTTAACAATTTTATCAATTAGTTTTTTAGTTTATCTTTACAACTTTGGTCACATCAATTCATTATTTCAGCCCTTAACAAATATAGATTTCAAAGTAACCAATTAATCTTCACTTATTATGGCCAAATAAAAATACTTACCAACTTTTTAAAGCACAACAACTTTCTTTGATGGCCAAGCTATTGTAGTACCAACAGCATCTTTAATACACTCCAACTCAGATGTTGGCCTCCAAAGTAATGCATCAGGGATACTAGGCATATCAACCCACACCCTCATTGCATTAGGACCTAAAGGAACAAAGTGAACAAGTTGATTTGGATCACTTGATGACCAATGTCCTTCAGCAACTATCTTTCCTGAGCCACTGATATCTAACAGGTTGCACTTTTTCTTTGAATTTTTTATACTCCGAAAATAGAAAATAAAAGACATAGTCAAATATAAATTAATGCTTATAAGCATATACAAGTACCTGAGAAGATGATGATTTGTTTGCAGACTGCAAATTGTAATTAGAGATATTTTCTAATACAACCTTATCACTAGGCCATGCTATTTTGGTTCCACTGACATCTTTGATGGATGTCATGTCTAGTGTAGGTCTCCACAAAAAACATTCAGGACTTATAATGTCATCAATCCAAACAATCATGGATTTAGGTCAGAGTGGAATACCGTTAACAAGTATTTTCGGATCACTAGAAACCCAATGACCTTGAGCAACAATTTCATCTTTTCCAGTCCAATTGAATATCTTACACTTGATATGAGTCATATTTGTATCCTACCAATAAACAAATACATGACAATTGTTTTATTACAAATGTCATATCCATGAGATATGTAATACAAATATATATAAATGCAGTTTTTACCATATTTAAGGAGGTATTATCTTCATTTTCAGAATTTTGAGTAATCTGCATTACCACCTTATCAGCCAGCCATGCAATTGTCTTACCAACAGCTTCTTTCATGCATAACATATTAGATGTAGGTCTCCAAAGAAAAGCATCTGGTTTATTTGTAATGTTGACCATCACTTCCATTGCATTAGGTCCAAGAGGAGCATGATTAACAAGCCCTTTTGGGTCACTAGAACACAATTGTCCTTCAGCTACAACCTCATCTTCTTCACACCAATCTACATACCCTACAATGTACCATGACTTATAGTTAGTAGAAAAACTGTATAGTTAATATTAAGTCTAAATTAAAATTTAATAATTCAAAATAGAAAAGGAAGAAACACATCCATTAGATAATTGACTAGTATACCAAAGGAGTTGTCTTATCAACTCTACGATCATGATCAGCTTCCTCATGGCCTGCAACTAATTTATGGACAAGATTCTCCAAGTGTTATATCCTACTTCGAAACTCAACATTTTCCTGTTTTAGTTGAATATGTAAGGAGTAATTGTAATTAGATTTTGATGATGCTATATTAATTAGGACTTTAGAGTACCCCGCTTTACGAAATTTGTATTAGAAATATTCCTTGTGTAATGTTTTTCCTAGAATAGTCGACTGACAGACGACCTCCAGACAGAAGTTGGATTGGCCTTCTAGTGAACCTCTATCCTGACAGAAGACCTTTTGGTTTTCTGTTGGACCTCATCAGAACATGAGCAAAAGGTCCTCCGTTGGCCTCTATCTTGACAGAAGACCTAAGGACCCTATGGTAGCTTTTATCCCAACAGAAGTGCTTGAGACCCTCTCTGGTTGATCCTCTGCTACAGATACCAGAAGACCTGACACTTAGAGAATTTCCATGAATCTACCTTAGCCGGTGAAATCAACGGAAGATTCCTCAACAGCTAGAAGACTTCAATGGAAAAGCTACAGTACGCGCATTAAATGCACATTTAATGCACCCCGTACCCTGGAGAGTAAAAGCTAATGATTGGCCGACATTCCAGGATATTTCAGGATATCTTTATCCCAAAATAGAAAATCGCCAACTTTTCCGGGTCCTACTGGTCAAGTCAACTATTCGCGCATTTAATGCAGTTGTGCTCCTCCTCCAACGGGAAGACAACCCCAGTATAAAAGATACTACTCGAAGAACAACCGGATAACTTTTGCTCAATCTTTGCTCTACTCTTGCTCGAACAATATTTTCAAATATTCAAACGCACAAGCCTTCTTGAGATTCAAACTCCATTCATCAACAAGAAAGGCGGACGTTGGGAAGATTTCATTTTCACATCTTCACATTCCAACTAGAGCAAAACTTCCAACTGTTCTTCAACACTTCAAGCACCTCAACTACACATCATTTGTAACGAAGAAAGTTGGAAAACCCCTGTTCTGACAAGAAATCTTCTTTAAATAGAAGGACGTTCAAGTAACTTGAGTAGTGAAGTGGGGATACTTCAAGGAAGCTCAGTGAAAGAACCAGTCTTAAAGGAAGCAAGGAAGTGCATCTCAGGAGACATCTTGGCTTGAAGAAGACGTGGAGAGCTTCTTAAGTGTTAGGGTTAAGGCTTTGTAATTGGATTTTTACAAGCTTAGTGGAACAGTGGATTAGAGGAACGAGTTGTTCCTTGAACCACTATAAAAATCCCTGGTCTCATTTACTTACTGCTTTTATTTCTTGTATTTACTTTGAACGTTTTAACTCCAGAGATTTGGTCTCTGTGTTCAGCAGAACCCGTCGTGTGAGTTAACAGAAGGCCTATTGCCTTTGCTTCTCTTAGAGGTTATCCGGATAGAACACCTACCAGAAGACCATCCGCTGCCAGTCTGTTCTGCCAACAGAACAGGCTATTCTGTTAAATCTTGTACTTAGCTTGAGTAGTTAAAAACCAGTACAGTCTATTCACCCACCCCCCTGGATTGTACCCAGTACAATTGAGACCAACAAGTGGTATCAGAGCCTCCTTGTTCTGATAATCTCTTAGGTTATTTACTGAACAAAGATCCACTTGTTTTCTTTCTGCCTCTGTTTTAATCTCTTATTATGGATCACTCTCTTTCCAAGAACCTTATGTTTTCAGATCTTAAGTTTGATGATTGGAGGATCCGGATGAAGGCACATATTTGTGCTCTTCATGATGAGATGTGGGAAGTACTTGACATAGGGCCATTCACCAACTTCCAGAAGGTGAATCCAGAGCATGCCAGTGACAACACAAAGCCTCAGATGATCAACAAAGCCAAATCTGAGTGGACTACTGAAGAAAGGAGGAAGTATAATCTTGACAACATAGAAAAGGACATTCTCTACAAGTCCATTGATGACAGATACTTCAACAGGATCAAGAAGTGTAAAACTGCCAAAGAAATCTGGGATACTCTTGAGCTCATTGGAGCAGGTGATGAGCAAGAGAAGGACAACAAACTAACCATTGCCAAAAATAAGTTTGATGACTTCAAACTTCTCCCCGGTGAAAGCATCTCCAATATGTATGACAGACTCCTTACTCTCACTGGAGAAATCTCTGAACTTGGCAAGGAACTCACCACCAAGGAGATCAACCTCAAAGTTTTGCGATGCCTCCCCTAAGCATGGAAGATGAAGGTGGTTGTTGTTCAAGTCAGCAAGGATGTGAGGACTTATCCTACAGACAAGCTCATCTCAGACCTCAAAGCTCATGAGTTCGAGATGATTGAAGAGAAAGAAGATGTACCAGAAGAGAGGACCACCACAGCCCTCACAGCTAGTACATCTAAGGTAAATGATTTTGACCCTTCAATACTTTTATCTGACAAATATATGGCTGCTTTTTCCAGAAGGTTCAAGAAATTCATGAAGAAACCAAAAGATGGAAGAAGTCCATCTGTCAGCAGAAAACCGTTCCAGAAGACCAAGTCTTCAGAAACCAGTGGAGAGCTTCTCTGCTACAACTGCAGGCAGCCTGGACACTTCAAGGCAAACTGTCCACACCCCAGAGTGTCCAAGAGACAAGGAGAAGATGAAGAGAAGAAATATGAAGACAATTCTAGAAGAAGTAAGGCATTTGTCACAGAACAGCTCGAGAAAGACCCTCTTTCTGAGACAGAATCCAGTTCTAATTCTTATTCTGATGAGGCCTTCAGTTGCCTGGATACTGAAACAGAAGACCTATGCCTCATGGCCCAATCTGATGATGAGGTAACCTCCTCTTCTAATTCTCGTTTTTATTCCGTAGGCACAGCTTTAAATTATGATGCAATGTCATCATTGTGGGAAGAGTTTAGAACTATTCAGACCACTTATTCTTTAGTCAAAGAAGAAAACAGTAAGCTAAAAGTTGAAATCTCTGACTTAAGAAAAGAGACGGAGGTAAAAATCAATCTCTTGATTGAGGAAAGGGATGAACTTGAAGCTGAAAATGCAAACTTCTCTAAAGGTTGTTGATATTGATCAAATGATTTCCCCCGTTTCTGGTCTTGGATATGTTGCAACAGAATCCGGTGAGCCTTCTGTAAGGCCTAGCACCAAAGTTGCTAAGGTTGATAAGGTCATAGAGCCACAGATTTCTAGCCCCATTTGTCATGCTGGTGTATCTCGAACTAAGGTCTGTCATGAGGAAGTTAGACCAGAAAAAGGAAAGATAAAGGTTCAACAGAAACCCATTTTGAAAATTGATGAACCTGGCAGAAAATCTAACAACAGAAGAGGTTTTCAGAAAAATCAAAGGCAAACCCACAACAGACAACCTCATGATAACTGTGCTAGAAATGATCACCAGAAAGGCAGGTATCAAGAGAGAGTTAACTTTAGGCAGAAGAGGTTGGCTGGTCAACTCCAGAAGCCCAAAGCTAACCGCCCCTCTGCTCTTGATAGTATATGAGACTTTTTTCCTACCAAGAAAGCTATGCAAAAATATGTAAACAGGAAGCATGACCCTCACAAGCATCTGCCCAAAGTGAATCACACTTCGGTTTACTATGACTACCAGGTGGACAATGGGTACCACCCACCAAGGTTTCACTTGATGAGACCAAAGTGGTACCAACTACCAAGACTCCATGACTCTCTAGGACCCAACAATGTTTGGGTACCTAAATCTTTCTTTTAATTCTGCAGGAACAGTGTGTTGGAGCTATCTCTGAACAAGAATGGTTTATTGATAGTGGATGCTCCAGGCACATGACAGGTGATAGAAGTTGCCTAACTGAGTTCCAGAAATGCAAAGGACCTAGAGTTACCTTTGGTGGTAATGACAAAGAAGGTCAAAGAAAAGGAAGAGGCAAGCTGATCAAGAACCAGATAATCATTGATGATAACTCATATGTCAAAGGCCTGAAGTTCAACGTACTAAGTGCTAGCCAATTCTGTGGCAAAGGCTACACTGTTGAATTCACAAAGGACTTCTGTTATGTGAAGCATGAGACAATAAAGGAGGTGGTTCTTACAGCAAGAAGGAAGAAGAATATTTATGTGGTTGATTGGAAAAATGCAAAAGATGGAGTATGCCTGATAGCCAAGGGAGATTCAAAACTAAGCTGGGATTGGCACAAGAAGCTTAGCCATTTGAATTTCAAAACAATCAACAAACTGGCAAGAGAACACATTGTAGATGGACTGCCAGACATAGTCTACAAGAAAGAGACCCTCTGCAGCTCATGCCAGAAGGGAAAACAACAGAAGAACTCTTTCAAACCTATTGCTGGAGATCTTTCTACTAGTCCTCTAAATCTGATCCACATGGATTTATTTGGACCAGTTGAAACTCCAAGTGTTGGTGGTAAGAAATACACACTAGTCATGGTTGATGACTACTCCACATATACATGGACTATCTTTTTGACAAAGAAAAACGAAACTCTTCAGAAGTTGCCCTCTCTGTTAAAG